GCCAGTGAGGGAGTCTGGCACTGCCACTGGCTCAGAGTTGCATCCATGGTGGCACAGGGACTTCTGGATCTCCTTCAGCGTGGAGGCTTCTGGGCAAAACCCCCACCTCCAAGCTGTCTCAGATATAGCCCCTGCTTGGTCTCCTTCTTCCAAACTTGCTGCCACTAAAAATAGGAGCCTCACTGGAGCTGCTCAAAGAGGCCAGTATGCCCCCTGGCTCACGGAATTCTTAGACAACAGCCATTGCGCATAGCCATCAAATCTGGGACACTCAGAATTTCAGAAACAGGACACCTGGGACCCTCAGACCCACATCTCTAGGCTGTGCTGGGACTGGTTACTCACTGATTGGTCACTTTTTCCTGATTAGTTCTCATCTGTGACTTGTGTCTAGAACAGACCCTGTTGCTTATGGTTGTTTTCCTAGCCCTCACTATCTTCTCCAGTGCCTCATCATAACTTCTGACCTCAAACCCCAGAATATCTCTGCTACTGGTGGGTCTGCCTCCATGGCTCTCAAACAGGGACAGTCGGGTCCCACAGGGGACACTTTGGGGATGTGTGCAGACATTTTCAGTTGGCATGATTGCAGGATAGGTAGGAATTACTGTCCCATGGGCAAGTAGAGGCCAATTGTGGATTATCCTACAATTGTGGTGGGCTGCCTCAGCCCAGAGAAGGATCCTCTCCAAGTGTTAAGACTAAGGCCACTCTGCCCTAGGATATGCAAATTTTTGTACCCCTGACCCATATTTTAGGCCATGCCATTGTAACAGCCCTTTTTGTCAGGCTCAGCAGACAGACCATACCCCCCTGACCACTCCCTGCCATTTTCATTCTTCTATCTCTAGTGGTAGGCTTTTAATTCCCAGGGAAAATTGGATGGTGGGGGATTGGAAGAATCCATGCCAGCCCTCGCCCTTTCTGGACCATCCTCAAATTGAGGTTGATCCAGCAATTGCATCTGTCAGGCCCTGGCCAGGGCACAAGTTCTCCCAGCGTGTTAACCTTGGCCCAGGCAATTGGCTTACTCCCTGCTTGGCATGCTTGCTGTGTCAGGCAAGCGTGGCGGATAGAGAGGCACAGGCCAGGATTCCTGCAGTGGCTCCAGGCATTGGTTCTACAGGCGGATAATGGAGAGTTGGCTCTATCTGTGTTGTTGTAGTGAGGTGGGCATTCCCTAGAAGAGATTCCATTCTAGGATTTAGGGTACAGCAGGCAGGCATGGGCCATGTGTGGTTCAGGATGACCAGGCTCCCTACTCATCTGGCATGTGTTTGTTGAGTACTCGCATGCCAGATGCTGGAATGCTGCCAGGAATGAGCTGTAAATGTCCCAGTTCTCAGGGGCCTTGTGTGCTTACAACGTACCCAGACATGCAGCTATCCACAGAGGGAACATGGCAGTACCTGGGAAAGCTAAGAAATAAATGAAGCAGATGCCAGGCATGGAGTCACAGGCCTATAATCATAGCACTCAGAAGCCAGAGGCAGGAGGATGATGAATGTAGCTAGCTTGGGCTACATAATGAGTTCTAGACTAACTGGATCTACATAGCAAGATTTTTCTCCAAAAAAGCTAAGCAAAGCCAGGTGTAGTAGTTCACGGCTGTCATCCTGGAAGTCCACGAGTATAGCCAGGGGCGTTGCAAGTTTAGAGGTCAGCTGGTCTCAAGAAAACCCTGTCTCAAGCAAAGTGAAGACTAGGCACAGGGGCACACACCTATAGTCCCAGCACTTGTGGGGTAGAGGTAGACAGATTGGGAGTTTAAGGTCATCCTCAGCTACATATTGAATTTGAGGCCAGCCTGAGCTACATGAGATCATGTACCCACACAAAAAAAAATAAAACCAAAACCAACCAACCCTTACCCAACACCTAGGGGGCAGAGGCAGAAGGATCTTCATGAGTTTGAGACCAGCCTGGTCTATACAGCAAGTTCCAGGACAACCAGGGCAACGTAAAGAGACCCTGTCTTACACACACACACACACACACACACACACACAGAGTTCGGGGAGAGGTGGCTAAGGCTAGAGAAAGTTAGGACTCAAAGCTTCAAAAGAGTGGGGTTTGGGGAGAATTTAATAAAGGCAAAGCAGTAAGGGTCCAGGAAGGGAAGGGAAGTTGAAGGAACCAATCAAGACCCAGACCTCATGTACGTGGCATTGTTGTGGCAGGTGGGACTCTAGCTTTTTCCTGTAGTTAGAATGAAAAGCATATGAGTTTTCCCAGGGTACGATTTTAAAACAAGCAAACAAAAGCTACCCTGGTTGCTGGATGTGTGGAAGACTGGAAGGCAGCAAGCCCCTAGGGTCCTCCAAGGAGACCTAAGGGGACTCCTTCAGAGAGCCTCCTTTTAGGATACAGGAATGCAGAGGTCAAAAGCCTCTGAGGGATAGGGTTGGGGCCTAAAGGCCCTGTCTGAAGTACCCCACAAGGCTCTTGGAGCTGAGGTATGGAGGGCCCTGGCCAGGGGAAACCAGGCCCTGGCCAGGGGGATCCCAGCCCCTCAGGGTCTCCCCTCTTTGTTGCAGATGGGCAGCCCCATCCTGGCCTCAGCGAAGCCCTCCCCCGTGCCACCTCCGCCACCCATCGGATCAGCAGCTGGTGAGTGCCACGCTGGCCCTGACCTCAGGTAGGGCAGGGGGCCAATCAGGAGTGTCTAGACTCCATCAAAGCCCTCTGGGGAATGAGAAGGGGACAGGAGGGAATTAAGAGCCAGGCAGGAGGAGGTGACTCCCCATAGACCAGCCCTGGTTGTGTGCTGGGACTGGGGGGGAGGTCTCATAGCAACACAGAAGGTCAACTCTCATTACCCCTGCTAGGAGCCAGGCCAGAGAGGAACAAATCTGCCATTTGAACCCTTGGAGTCCAGTCTCTTTGTTAAGTGATGCTTAGATTGATGCCTCTCTGAGCCTCAGTTTTCTCATCTGCAAAATGGAAAATTACCTTGCCACAAGATGTTTCATAAATTTGCCTTGGGAACTCAAGAATCATTGGGAAAGAACAGGAATCAACTTCAATGTTAATGGCCACTACTCTGATTCTTTTGTTTGTTTGTTGTGCTAGGGACAAAACTCAGAAAAGGAGGGTCTTACAAACTCAATGCAAGTGCTCTACCATCTATCCCTGAGTTCTAGCCTCAGCCTTGCTACTCTTTATTTAAGAGTTTAGTGGGTCTAATATATAATTATGATAGTCTCAACATTAACAACAGGTCTAGAAATGAATAATAACAATTATGTTCTGGCTCCCAGTTCACCTCACTGACTCTTTGCCACAGCCCTAAGAGGTACTTTTACCATTGCATGGCACCAAAGGGCTTAGAGGTAGCATGACGGCCTCCACTTGCCTATCTGTTCTCTCGATTTCCCCACCTGTTCCGTGGATGAGCTCAATCTACTTCCTTGTGAAGGCAGGCTATTGAAATAAAGGGAGCCATACATCTGTAATCGCAGCACTTACGAGGCACATACTAGAGGATTAGGAGTCCAGGATCTTCCTCTGCTACATAGTAAATTCAAGGCCAGGGTGGATTACTAAGATCCTAAATGAAAAAAATATATACATATGCATATATGTATATGTATACGCATATGTATATGATGGGCACAATGACACATACCTACTATCTCAGGACCTGAGGTTTTTTTAAGATATATATATATATATATATATATATATATATATGAATATACCAATGCTCTCTTCAGACACACCAGAAGAGGGCATCAGATCCCATTACAGATGGTTGTGAGCCACCATGTGGTTGCTGGGAATTGAACTCAGGACCTCTGGAAGAGTAGTTGGTGCTCTTAACTGCTGAGCCATCTTTCCAGCTCAGGACCTGAGATTTTAAAATAGGACAGTCTTGAGTCCAACACTAGCCTGAGGTACATAATGGGACCCTGTCTATAAGTAAATAAGCAAACCCATTCTGGCAATATAGACTTTTAATATGCCGCTATTCCAGAGATTGAGGGAGGAGGATTGTGAGTTCAAAACCTGCCTGAGGTTTTTGAAGTCACCTACAGAGTGAGTCCAAAGCTGACATAATTGGACAAGATCCTGTCACAAAATTTTAAGAAGGGAGAGGGCCTAGGTATATAGTTCTATGGTAGAGCACTTGCCTTACATGAACCAGGTCCTAGGTTTAATTCCCAGCACTGTGGGAAAATGAAGAGAGAGCTGATCAGGAATACTTATACCAAAAAGTCCCAGAACCTGGTATGGTGACTACCACTTTAATTTCAGCACTTAGGATGCAGAAGCAGGTGAATCTCTGTGTGTTCAAGGCCAGCATCATCTACAAAGTAATTTACAGGACAACCAGGGTTATACCATGAGACCCTGTATAAAAAAAAAAAAAAAAAAAAAGAAACCCCAGAGCCTGGTGTGGTGGCCACACCTTTAATCCCAGCACTTTGGAGGCAAAGGCAGGCAGATCTGAGTTTGAGTCTCTTCTAGTCTACATAATGAGTTCCAGACCAACCGGGACTACATAGTGAAACCTTGTGTCCCCCTGGAAAAGTCCCATTAGTCCCAAGGCTTACTAGGTATTGGGTGAGGTAAAGTGTTCCCTGATCCCTAAGCACTTGAAATTATACCTATCTCTACCCTATATTTAGTTGTGGGATCATAGTCCCCACTTGAAAGGTTGCAAGCTTTTAAATAAGCACCTGCTTTGTGTGATAGTTTTAACTGGTGATACCTGTCACAAAAGCTCCTTAGACACTGTATAAGGAAGACAAGATTCCTGACTCTTGAAAATCATCTCCATTTTTAGGATTGGAAATCTGAGGCCCAGAGAACTTTCCTCATCTACTCTGACCTCCCAGCCCTACCTATCTCCCTCCCAGGAAGGTCAGGGTCACTGGAACCATTAGTCACTCCTGACTCTACCCTCCAAGAGGGGAGGAGGTTCATCCTTTGAGCTGTCCTGCCACAAAGTTGACCTTCACCAAATTTGGGGGAGAGATGTGACTAAGTCGCCACAGTTTGGGGAGGACCAAGACAGAAGCAGCCTGGAGCCCAGGTCAGAGCCTTGGATCCTCCCTGGGGAAAGGTGAGAGTTCACTGTACCACCAGATTAGGGAATACTCTTTTGAGGCTTTATCCCCAACCTGTGGTCTCTGCACATTTCCCCAATAATGCAACAGGGCTGGGCTGTGTGGACAGGTACACTCTAAGAGTTGCACCTGGCCTTGTTGCAATACCTCTGGAAAGGCCTCACCTTTACCCTATTAATCCCAACCTCTCCGCAGTCACCCTTATGCTGGAGCTCAGTGAATTAACAGTTCCATCCAGCCTGGGAAGACTCCCCATCACTACTACCCTAGGGAGGGAAACCAAGGACCACAGCTAACTTATCCCCGTTGGCACTTCCTTGCAGCTACTGGGATGGAGACAGCCTGGACTTTCAGCCGGGTTCCCCACCACCCCATCTTCTGGGTCCCTTCCCTGCATCCCTTGATGTTCAGGGGTCTTGGGAGCATCCCATGGTCCAAGAGGCCAGGGAGGGCACCCCATCTGAGCAGAGGTTCCAGAACTCAGTTATTGTGAGAACTATGAAACCCTATGCCAAGCTCAAGGGCTCTAGAAAGTTCTTGCACCACCAGGGTGAACTGAAGTTCTTAGAGAAATACTCTCCAAGCCACCATAAGTTTGATTGGCTCCAAAATGCGGATGAACAGGGGCCCCTGAAGGATACAAGGTTGCACCTGGACCTCCCTGCCCAGCCACCGACTGTCAATTCCTTCAGGAGGGTAATTGTGCCAGTGGATGACACTCCAAAAACCTTGGACATGGAGGTTATGGGTACCAGAGAGGACCTAGAAGACTTTGGGGAGGTAGCCCATCCTTCTGAGTGGGGTCTCCACACATCAGCCTCAGAAGTGGCCACCCAGACCTGGACAGTGAACTCTGAAGCATCTGTGGAGCGACTGCAGCCCCTTCTGTCCCCAGTCCAGACAGGACCATATCTGTGTGAACTGTTGCAGGAAGTAGCTGGTGGGGTGGACAGCCATGAAGAAGAGGAAGAGGAGCCACCTGTGTTTCCTTGCATCGAGTGCAGCATCTACTTCAAGCACAAGGAGCACCTCCTAGAACACATGAGCCAGCACCGCCGAGCACCAGGCCAGGAGCCCCCAGCCGACCTGGCTCCACTGGCCTGCAGTGAATGCGGCTGGGCCTTCACAGAACCTACTGCCCTGGAACAGCACTGGCAACTGCACCAGGCTTCCAGGGAGAAGATTATTGAAGAGATCCAAAAGCTAAAGCAATTTCCAGGTGATGAGGGCCGTGAGGCACGGCTGCAATGCCCCAAGTGCGTCTTTGGCACCAATTCCTCTAGAGCCTTCATGCAACATGCTAAGCTGCATGTGCGTGAGTCACTGCCCAGCCAAAAGGCCAAGGAACCTTTCAGTGGTGGCAGCCCAGTCTTAGATGTTAGCACCCTCATCTATCCCTCCTATGGAGATTCCTCAGGCCTCAATACCTGCATTCACTGTGGCTTTACAGCACCTAGCAAGGGTCTGCTCAGGGAGCACATGAAGCTAGTACATGCCCACGCCCATTGGGAAGAGGATGGAGAGGCCTATGAGGACCTTACTAGCCAGCCAGGCACTAGCCAGGATGCATATACTCACTTACCTGACACTGCTACCATGGACTATTTTAGCAAATCTGAGCCTCTCTTGGCCTCGGTATGGCATGAAAACCCTTCTGGATATGACCCTGGCCTAGCTTTTGGTCTATCAGACTATCAGCAGCCAGGCATGAGAGATTTTCCATTGCTAAATTCAGGCCAACAGTCTCTTGGAAAGCTGGCCTTTCCATCCCCTATGGCATCTCCTTCCTATTCTATACAGCTCAATAGAAACAAAAGCACTGTCCACTTGCAGAGAATGAAAAACAAGAGTCATCCTTGGAGTGAAGAGGAAGAAGAAGAGGAAGAAGATGAAGGTATAGTTCTGACTTCTGAAATGGATTTTACTCCTAAAAATGGAGCCTTTCCACCCCTAGCCACCCCTACCCTCATCCCTCAACCAGCCCTTGAGTTGAAGCAGACTTTCCAAGATGCCCTGCAGGCAGTTGATGCCTCAGAGACTCAGCAGGAGCAGCTCCAAGGAATGGTGCCTATTGTTCTGATGGCAAAGCTCAGGCCACCAGTCATAGCTGCAGCCACCCGGGCATCCCCAAAGCTGTTACCTGAGGAGCTAGAGCTGAGAAGCACCCACCCCCTGGACTTCCTGCTCCTAGATACACCTTTGGGCGGCTCACTGGGTCTGGACACACTCTTAGAAGGAGATCCAGCCATGGCACTAAAGCATGAGGAGCGGAAATGCCCCTACTGTCCTGATCGTTTCCACAATGGCATTGGGCTGGCCAACCATGTCCGGGGCCACCTGAACCGAGTGGGTGTCAGCTACAATGTTCGGCATTTCATCTCTGCAGAGGAGGTGAAGGCCATTGAACGCAGGTTTTCCTTCCAGAAGAAGAAGAAAAAAGGTAGGGCATCGGCCTTGCTTTGGGAATCCGTCTCCCTCTCTCAGTGCCTGGGAGTCACAGAGCTGGACAGCAGAGTTCTAAACTTTCATACCCTTACTCTGAATCCTACTGTAGCTTCCTACAGGGGAAAATTTGGGGCATCCCATCTTGAAACACCTGGGAGCCATGGGCAATGTCACCACTAAGTGTTGGTGGATATGCAGGGATACCCCAGTGCCCTGGTCACAATGGCAACTGGAGAGAGGAGTTTGAGGACAGCAATCAGCCACAGACAGATTCTTTTTGATTCTTTCATGCAATAAATGTGTATTGAACTGGGTCGCCTCTGTTCTGGGCCCTGAGAAGGCCAGCAGTGAGCTAGACAACAGTTTGGCCCAAGCAAAGTAACAGGACTCTTGGTAGGCTTCAGAGCCTGGGGCCAACTATGAAGTGTGAAGATTTCCAGGCAAAGAGTTTCTGATTCCAAAGGTCTACCTCTAGTTAGAGCATACTGGGTAGTTCTGATACTGGGTACTTCACAGCCCACTTGGGGAAGGTGTTAATATGGTGTTTGAGTGAATGAGAGTGCATGGAGAGGGGAAGGAGGGGTGGGGAGAGAGGGAGGGAGGGATGGAGGGAGGGAAGGAGAGAGAGAGAGATACTTGAATGTGGGGATAAGTGGTAGACAGCCAGGAAACTAGGCAGTTATGGCATCAAGTGACCCGGGCTCCAAGTCTGAGAGAGAAAACTGTAACTCTACCTTGAGGGCTCAGAGAAGGCTTCCACATGTGAGTATCCCATACTCTATTTGTCTGTTTCTTCACATAACCTACATTTAATTTATAGTATAGGAGCAATGCCAAGCAAAAATAGACAAGGAAAGGATGTCTATCTGGCACTCTCATTGCCAATCCAGAGACACCTGCTCTAGAAGAAGTTTCCTAATGCTGCCTGATGTGCAAGTAGGGGTCTGGGAAGTCAAACTTTCTGCAGTATCTAGTTAGGGGAGGGTGCACAAGCTGACAGTTTCTGATCAGCCAGAAGCATCAACAACAGAAGGGAAGGCCGGCATTCCAGGGTGATCTCTAGAGCAGGAAAAGTCCTGGGAAGGAGGCAGAGTTGGGGTGGAGAGTGGCCTCCCTCACCACTACCCCAACCCAGAAAGTCTGTGTCTTCTTTCTGCAGTGGCTAACTTCGACCCGGGCACCTTTAGCCTGATGCGATGTGACTTCTGTGGGGCTGGTTTTGATACTCGGGCTGGCCTCTCCAGTCATGCCCGGGCCCACCTTCGTGACTTTGGCATCACCAACTGGGAGCTTACCATCTCACCCATCAACATCCTGCAGGAGCTGCTGGCCACCTCAGCAGCTGAGTTGCCCCCAAGTCCCCTAGGCCGTGAGCCTGGTGGGCCATCTGGAAGCTTCCTGACTTCACGACGGCCACGCTTACCTCTCACCATGTCCTTCCCACCTACCTGGGCTGAGGACCCTGGGCCAATCTACGGAGATGGTAAGGGGAGGGAACAAGTCAGGCTCCTACCCTTCCCCAGGGATTCAGAGGGATGGATGGGTGAGTTGGAGGGTGAGCACTCTGCTTTCCGGGAAGCACTTCATCTGCCTGTAATTCCAGCACTCAAGCCTTGAGCAAGATAATCACGGCCAGCCTGGGCTGCATAGCAAATTCAGACATGACTTGCTACATAGTCAGATCCTATTTTTTTAAAAAGCATATTAACAAATTTTCTCACCATTATATTGCCACATAGGGGTAATTTCTGTTTTATTCAAGGGCTGGTTCATGGCCCTTTCTGAATCCAATTTCTAAGTGAGTTCTTTCTAGAAGCAATGGTACTTTACAAACACAAACCCATTGAACTCCTTGCAACAAGCCTATTAAGGTGTGTGTTTTCATCATATGCATATTACAGAGGAGGAATCTGAGGCACAGAGAACTTAATTTACCTGCCCCAAATTATGTAGCCAGAGAGAGAGAAGCTTTGCAATCCAGGTAGTTAGGCAGCAGATTCTTAGTTCTGAAAATATTTCCTATGTTGACTACTATGTCCAATAGGACTTTGTGAAATGTCAGTAATAGTCTTTAACAATCTATACTGACCTTGAGGATCACCACTGGGTACACGTGGCCATTGAGCACTTAAACTATGGCTGTACTGAGCCACTTGTTTTCTTACTGTAGTAGATGGGACAGACCTAGAACCCAGACTCTGGGATGGAGCTAATGATCGAGTACATGCATAACACAAGCAAGACCCATGGTCTGGTTCCTAGCACTCACTACAGAAAAAGAGGAGGATCCAGACTCCAGATTCAACTAGTTTTACCCAGCAATCTTGACAAACTCCTCCCATACTCAAGCAATTGCACATACTAAGGTTTTTTTTTTTTTAAAGATTTATTTATTTTATTTATGAGTACACTTTAGCTGTCTTCAGACACACCAGAAGAGGGCATCCAATCTCATTATGGGTGGTTGTGAGCCACCATGTGGTTGCTGGGATTTGAACTCAGAACCTCTGAAAGAGCAGTCAGTGCTCTTAACCACTGAGCCATCTCTCCAGCCCACGTACTAAGGTTTTAACCTCTGTCATCTCAGATATGCCAAAAAAAAACAAAACAAAACAAAAAATGACTTTGTAGGGCAAAGGTTTATCCTATTTTGCTTGATGTGCTGGGCATGGAACCCTGGGCCTCATGTATGTTGGACAAATGTTTTTGCCACTGAGCTATGTTCCTCGTCTTTGGATTGTTGTGTACTCATCTTACAGACAAAGAAACTGTGGATTATTTGCTTTGTCCCAGCCACACATAGGCAGAGTTGGACTTGTGAGCATTTTATTGATAGTGTCTGGAAACCTAGAGTCGATATTTGGTATTAGATTGCAGGGCTGGGCTCAGCAGAGTTAGAGGAAAAGTGAACTACCCAATCTCTAAAAACGCTGACCTTGGGAGCTTTTAAAGAACAGAAAACTCAGCTGGTCAAGGTGGTGCACACCTTTAATTCTAGCACTCAGGAGACAAAGACAGGTGGTCTACATAGTGAGTTCTAGGACAGCCAGTGCTACTGGAAGAGACTCTGTTTCAAGAAATAAAAGTAGGAAGGGGATATAGAACTTGGCTGTAAGACATAGTTGAATAAAATTCAAACTCCTTGGCTCTGAGGAATGAAACATATCTAAACTGGGAAAATTGATGCAAGGTTACTGGAGCTGGGCTTTCTTCTATGGTTCCTCTACTTACAGTTTCCAGGCTACTGTCGAGATGTATATTTTAGACTTGGCTGGACCCATCCCATCTGTAAGCCATGTGAAGGCACTTGAGAGTTTTCAGAGGACAGGGTGAGGATGTCAAAAGTCCACCTCTTTCTTTCTTTCTTTTATATTTCTTCTTCTTCTTCTTCTTCTTCTTCTTCTTCTTCTTCTTCTTCTTCTTCTTCTTCTTCTTCTTCTTCTTCTTCTTCTTCTTTTTTTTGGTTTTTCGAGACAGGGTTTCTCTGTATAGCCCTGGCTGTCCTGGAACTCACTCAGTAGACCAGGCTGGCCTCGAACTCAGAAATCCGCCTGCCTCTGCCTCCCAAGTGCTGGGATTAAAGGCATGCACCACCACTGCCCAGCTTGTCCACCTCTTTCTTAAACAAGAAACTGAGGCACAGACAGGTTGGTGGCTGGCTGAAGCCACATCAGAGAGACACAGAAGAATGGACTATGGGGCTTCTTGCCTTTAGTAAAAGATTGTTCACAGGTATTCAGCTTTCCCACCTAATTTGGTTTATAATGTCTCAGGCATGGCTGGAAGGCAGAGCCAGCTCTAAGGGTGTCTAGGTCTGTAGAAAGTAGTCTATGAAAGCTCCAGCTCTGACCCTCTTTATTTCTGTGGTGTCCCAGCACAGGCCTGTATATCATGCTCACATTTCTTATCTGGCATCAGAGCCAGACACTCCCAAGGATGAGACAAGTACCTAACAGCCAGATTCTCTTATGACCAATCTATTTCTATCCAAAAAAAAAAAAAAGTTATGTGTCACTCCCCAAAGGGAGCTGGCTCAAACTCTAGAATATGAGGAAGTAGAGATAGCTCTACATTGGCTTTGTCTAAAGGAAGGAGAGAGACATTTATGAATGACCTCTTCAGGAAACACTCGGAGATGGGGTGGGGGGGGGTGTTACAGGGTAGCTGAAACAATCTCAAAAACTTTGCAAAGTAATGGTATCCCAAATCAGGGCCAGGTCAGGGCAGTGTGGCCCTGCGTGGCAGTTCTTTTTAAAAGATTCTTCCCTTTTTTCCAAGTGAGCCAGGAGGAGGAGGCACCAAATTGAGGGCTGGGCACAGGTCAAATTCAGGCTCCACACATCTGTCAAGGAATAACTGGACGCCGCACTTTGAAGTTGGGGCGGGAGGAGTGAACAATGCTAGAATCATAGGTGAGAAGGGACCAAGTTTCTTGGATTGCGGGACAGAACTATCTGAGAACAGCTAGATAGATACTAGGGTGATGTGGGGTTGGGGGAGGATCACCATGATGGAGAATCTAGTGTTTTTCAGGATTGTTCTAGAAGCTTTGCCTTGAGTAAGGTCCAGGTTTGACTACCTGGCAAGAGACTTAGAAGAATAGAACAGGGTCTAAAGGCAGGTCCTAGCACTACTGTCAGGATTCTAATTCTGAATGCTTGTATTGAGGTGAATGTGTGTGGCTGGAGCGTTCCTTTTCTAGTTGTAGAGATGTGTATATCCTAGAGTGTAGCGGCTGCTAGAGGCTGATGGCAGCTTGGCCCTAAGCTCCCGGCAGCTCCCAGGAGTGTATTAGTGGAATCCTCAGCGCCCAGAGCATTTCGCTCGAGGCGCTCGGCGCTCATCAGGTTGCCCTGGGTGCGCCCGGAGGGGCGGAGCAGAGCACGCTCGGAGGTCGCGGCGCGCGGTGCTCCGCTGCTCTCGCCTGAGGCGGCCGCCCCGCGTGCGCCGGAGCCAAGATGGCCGCCTCCACCGCCCAGTGCCGAGTGACAAAAGCGGAGAGCAAGGCGGCGGCGGGGCCGCGCGCGGGGGGTGCCCGGGAGCGCGCGCCCACGGGGGCGCCCTCGCCAGGCCCCCCGAGTCCAGGACCGGTGGTTCTTCCGGTGCCGCCGCCGCCTCCACCCCCACCGCCACCGCCGTCGCGGGACGGGCCCAAGGCCGAGCCGGAGCCGGGGCCCGCGCCTGCGCCCGCTCCGGGTAAGAGTTGGCGGAGGGTAGCGGAGGGGAGGGTCCCGGGAGGGGAAAGTCGGCGTCCCTCCCGAGTGTGCCGTCGCCACCCTCAACACCCGCCGTCCGATCTCTGGCACACACACACACACACCCCCCACCTCAGGCGCTCGGGCCCTGGGCCTCCCTCAGCCCCCTGGAGGGTCCCAGGCTTCCGAAGCACTCTGCAGTCGCTGCTCGGGACTCTTCGCCGGCTCTGACAGAAGTCCCCTGCCTCTTTTGGAGTCTCAGAAGCTCCCAGTTGTCACAGTTTCGATCCCCTCGGTGTTGGAAAACCACTTTTGACCCTGCCCCATCTGACAGACGCGCCCACTTCCACCTGGAGACTTTGACAAAGTACTCTGTGTCATGATCTCAGTAGCCTCCTGCCCTGCCTTTTTTGCCTCTGTGGGACTCAGATTGAGTAGAAAGCGACCTGCCTTAGCCCCCTGCCCTATTGCTTTGTCCTGGTCGTCTTCGAAGTCCATCTGACACACGGTTCTTTAATTCTCAACTCTTGTTCAGAATTCTGCCTCATAGCCTCCTACTATCCCCCATCCCTGCCCCTTTTAATGAAATCTCAGACTAAGGAAACCACCCTTGATTCCTTCATATCTCTTACCGGAGGAGGCGTCCTCACTGGATGGAAGCTTAAAACTTCGTGTAAACTTCTGTCATTCCCAGTCTTCCTGTCCTAAGTTGTCCAGGGTCCAGGTTCTTACCTTGGCCAGTTCAACTGGTGGTGACTAGTTTACTGCTGGACTTGCTGTTATCTTTGAAGCTCCAGCTCCCTTGTCTGGTAGAGATTTTCCCCTCCCTGTCCTCAGCTTCCTGCTTTTTCTACCTTGTCTCTATGGCCTCCAGACTCTGGTCTCTTACTCTTTTAACTGTTCCAACCTTCACTCCCTTATAAGTTCTACCGAGAGAGGCATTTGTCTTAAAATGTCCTTTGATGAGACATCTCAGCTCAAATTTGCAATGTGTTCTCAGACCAGTGAACCTTCTACTGGACTGAAACTGTTTGTCTTTCCTGTCATTGGACAATCTCAGTGTCCCTCCATTGGGCTGCCACAGGGTTTATGGGTGCAGCCTCAGCTCCCATGGAATGAGTGGCTTCCAGAAGTGAGAGCAGATGCCAAGGATAAGGAAGAAGTGCCGTTCGTTCTCTGTCTTCTTCTTGGGGTGGACAGCCTGACTCATGATTGGGCTGAGCCTGTCTCCTCCACCCCACAGGCCTGTGTTCTGAGGAAAACACAATGGTAGCCATGGACTTGGGGTCTCCCTTACTCCCAAAGAAGAGCTTGCCTGTCTCTGGGACCCTGGAGCAGGTGGCCAGTCGGCTGAGCAGCAAAGTGGCCGCAGAGGTTCCTCATGGCAGCAAACAGGAGCTGCCAGACCTCAAGGGTGAGTGGCCAGGATAGTCATGATCACAGAAGCACTTTTTGGATTAACAGGAGTTGGCACTCATCCTCCTTATAGCACTTTAAGGCACCAGGAGATAGCTACTCAGCTATCTTCTACATTGAGTTTCTATAGCTTTGGCCATATGTGTGGCCCTCAGCTACTACCTTCTTGGATGAGGAAGGAATATCCAGTGAAGCAGTGGGCAAGGTGGGCAAGAGATCACAAACAGGTCGTTCGCCAACCTTGTTAGTTCTGAGCTTTCATGGGTTTCATATTTGTTTTTCTGTAGACTACAAAGTTCTTGAATGTAATGCTAGTTCCTAGGTATATTAAGAAGAGCAAAACCAACTGGCCTTTGCATCATTGAAATCAGGCAGGGAGGCCAAGAAGTAGATGGGGACTGGGCCAGGACTGTTACTAAGACCTTTTCTGACTTAGCATTAGAAGTTTTGTTAGTTGCAGAGAGTAGATTAGGTATTAGCTCCATATGTGATGTATGTGTGCGCACACACACATTTGTGTAAATGTATTGTCAGGGTACCCTGGAATGTTGCAGGTCTGAAAGGCATCCACACTGGCTGACCACAAAAAGTGTAGCCTCCTGTTGTATGCCCTTGGGCACAACTATTCTCTTCTCTGAGCCTCAGTTTCCTTACTTCCAAACCAGAAATACTAACTCCCACCAAGTTAGAATGGTTGTCAGAATCAAAGGGATTTGGCAAAAGCAAAACACTTATTTTGTACCTGGGTAATGGGAGGAGAATGGGTTAGCTGTATCCAAAAGGCCTCATAGCCTTCCATCCTGGCCTCCATCTCATCCTCCAGCCCAGAGCCTGACCACCTGTGAGGTCTGCGGTGCCTGCTTTGAGACACGAAAGGGCCTGTCCAGCCACGCACGTTCACATCTGCGGCAGCTTGGGGTCGCAGAATCAGAAAGCAGTGGTGCTCCCATCGACCTCCTCTACGAGCTGGTGAAACAGAAGGGCCTGCCTGATGCTCCCCTGGGGCTGCCCCCTAGCCTGACCAAGAAGTCCAACTCACCAAAGGAGTTCGTTGCTGGGGCTGCCAGGTCTGGCCTGCTCACCCTGGCCAAACCTATGGATGCCCCTGCTGTCAACAAAGCCATCAAATCACCTCCTGGCTTCTCAGCCAAGGGCCTGACCCACCCATCCAGCTCTCCACTCCTCAAGAAGGCCCCACTGACTCTGGCAGGATCCCCTACACCCAAGAATCCTGAGGACAAGAGCCCCCAGCTGTCCCTGAGTCCCCGGCCAACTTCCCCAAAGGCACAGTGGCCCCAGTCTGAGGATGAGGGGCCACTGAATCTCAGTGAGTTTGGGTACTGGGAGCTGAGGGGGGTGCTGGGATGTTATGTGGTCCTCAGATGAGGAGGACCCAGGGTACTGAAACCTGCAGTTTCCAGATCCTGGGTCATCCAGGTCAGTGCTAGTTGAACCACTCACTATGTCTCCTATTGGGCTGTCCTGTGTGTGTCCTGTGTCTCCCATTCTGGTGATCTTCCCCTGGAGGTCTGCTACAGATCTGAGCCTGCAGGGGCTACTTGCCACTTGAGAAGAGCTCTTGTCCTCTGGACTCATGGTGGGGGTGGTAAAAGTAACAAGGGACCTGGCTTTCCCAGTGGGAGTCTGGGATATCTTGGATCATACAGGTAGATGGGTAGACAATCTACCAGACAGAGATTCCTTACGTTGGGCCCTTTTTTCATGTCTCCCAACCGTTTGTGCTGAGGCATCTCCTTGTTTGTGATAGGTAGAGACCCTCCATCATGGTTGTCTTGCACTTGGCAAGTAGGGTCAGGAAAGAACCCCTCCCAATTCAGTAGTCAGGATTCTAGAGGTATCCATCATGCTTTCCTACATGTTGGCAGGTTTCAGAGCCTCATGATGCCTGTGTTGCCTGGCAGCCACTTGAATTGAATCTGCTGTTGTTTTAGGGTTAGGGGTCCTTGGTAGTCTTGTGATGATTCCCCCTGCTCTTCACCTTCCATCTTCCCCTGTAGTTCCTGTAGCAGAAGTCCCAGGGGAGGAGGGTCTGGGAGCATCAGGATTTGACACAGAAGTACATTGTAAGCTCCCCCCCTTCACTTGATGCCAATGGGCTAGGCAGGGAATAGGCCACCCTGCTACCTGAAATCTAAAACAAAACAACAACAACAAAACAAAACCCGTCTAAAGCATGAAACTTAGATTTCTAACTACCTGGGCAGCTGAAAATCACAGCACAGCCTCCTGCCTTTATCCCCTAGGGCCGACCAAGGTGGCGGCCGTGAACCCCCTCCCCCTGTGTTTTGTCTCCGCAGCTTTAGATAGTGACGGGGGCAGAGAGCTGGACTGCCAGCTGTGTGGTGCCTGGTTTGAGACCCGCAAGGGCCTGTCCAGCCACGCCCGTGCCCACCTGCGCCACCTGGGCGTCAGCGACCCGGATGCCAAGGGATCCCCCATAGACGTGCTCCACGGGCTCATCAGGAGGGACGGCATCCAGATCCGCCTCCCACCCGGGCGGGGAGCCCTGGCCCAGCTGGGGCGGCCTCCTTCCGCCTCCACAGCCCTCTCCTTGCTCCCTCCCCCACCGCCGGCCAAGAAGGCCAAGCTGAAGGCCTCGGGTATGGCCAGTCCCTGGGGGAAGCAGGATCTCTCGGCCGCCGGCATTTTCTGGGCCTCTGATGTGGAGCCATCTCCTCTCAACCTCTGTAGGTTCTCACTTCAGCTGCCCTTCCTCCCTGTGGGCCCTGGAGCCCCTCCCTGGGGGGTCATGGCCCCCTCCCTACTCCCTCCCTGTTGTAGTAGGGAGTAGACAGGGGCCCTTGGCAGTGGGCTGGCTCAACCCAGAGATTTTGTTGGCAGTGGGCTGCTGGTACCTCTCTCTTGGCCTTGTCCTCTATCACCATGACCCTGCCTGAGAATGAAGGCCAAAGGGAAGGTCCTGCCTTTTGGTGTGGAAGGTATCCCGGGTCTAGACAGTATGTGGCACCTAGGCTGGCTTCGTCCTGTCTCCTGCCCTGTTCTTATTGGGACCCACAAAGCTGTGGAGTATTGGTACTGCTCTCTGCCAGGACAGAGGTCCTGTTAGCTCTCTGGAGCCTCTCCTGCACCTTGCCCAGTGTCTGACCCCACCCCTCAGCTCCCTCACTTGTACCTGCCATCCACTACCACCCTAGCTTATGGACACATTGCTGCCCATACCTAGCTGGCCAGGATACTCAAACAGGTGACTATCCAGATGACACCCATAATTCTAACTGACCCTTTTTCTTCCTGCTGCAGCTTCAGGCCCAGAGCCAACAAGAGATATCCGATGTGAGTTTTGTGGTGAGTTCTTTGAGAACAGAAAGGGCCTGTCTAGCCATGCGCGCTCCCATCTGCGCCAGATGGGTGTGACTGAGTGGTATGTGAATGGCTCACCCATCGACACACTTCGGGAGATCCTGAAGAGACGGACCCAATCCAGGCCAGGTGGACACCTCCATCCACCAGGTCCTAGCCCAAAAGCCCTGGCCAAGGTGGTAGGCAGTGGAGGTCCCGGCAGCTCACTAGAAGCCCGAAGTCCCTCTGATCTTCACATCTCAGCTTTGGCCAAGAAGTTGCCGCCACCACCAGGTAGTCCCCTGGGCCACTCACCGACTGTTTCTCCTCCTCCCACGGCCCGGAAGATGTTCTCAGGCCTTGCTACACCCTCCCTGCCCAAGAAATTGAAGCCTGAACACATGAGAGTGGAGATCAAGAGGGAGATGCTGCCAGGGGCCCTTCATGGGGAGCCACACCCATCTGAGGGTCCCTGGGGCACGTCTCGAGAAGATATGGCACCCTTGAACCTGTGTAAGTGTGACTGTGTGTCAGGGTAGGTAGAACAGTTGTCTGGTGCTCCTCCTTGTACCCTTTTAACTGTAGCCATAGATCACAGGACTGAAATGGAAGCTAAACAAGTCCAGAGAACACAGAACTTGCTGTTTTTACTCCTGGACCAAAGCTACAGCTTGTTTTTCTGTTATTCGTGCAGAAGTGGCAGAATCATATAATTATATCTATATGCCCTCTTTGGCCAATTAGTAGTGGCTGCCAGCCAGATTCCTAGGAGGAATAGCTGCAGGGATCCACTAGTGATGTTTACCACTGGAAGGAATAGAGAGATGGCATTCACATTTTTGAACTCTGTCTAACATCCCTGGTAATTGAGTGTTTGACATTTGAGTCAAGTTTGAGTCAAGCTCTCTCTTCTCCATAGTGTAGTAGTGAGTGAGTTGGGTGAGTTTCCTCATTTGGAAGATAGAGATCAGCATAATCCCATGTCTCATCTTTATCTTGTGTCTGTATAGGTTTTTGTTTTTTAAGATTTATTTACTTATTTCATGTGTATAAGTACACTGTAGCTGTCTTTAGACACACCAGCAGAGGGCATCAGACCCCATTACAGATTGTTGTGAGCCACCATGTGGTTTCTGAGAATTGAACTCAGGGCCTCTGGAAGAACAGTCAGTGCTCTTAACTGCTGAACCATCTCTCCAGCCCAACAGTTTTCTTGAGAATTAAGTGTGATGAAGTACTTAGCATGGTGCTTGGTTACAAAAGCATAGTTGCTATCATGTTAGTGTTACGTGCTTTCCTGGCACTCTGTCACGCTGTTCATTCTTGGTTGATTATCTGCTATACTCCAAGCAGGCAAACATGGCCAGGGCTTCACCTTAGAGCTCACATGACAGTTCCCTGCCATATGCTCTGAACCTTTATGATTTTACACCTTCTCAGCAACATTAGGAGATACAGATTTTCATCCCCATCTTGCAGAGAAGGAAACTAAAGCTCAGCGAGAGGAAGTAGCTTGCCCAGCATTACTCAGGGAGGCCTTGTAAAGCCAGCTAGAATTTGAGGTAACAAGACACATAGAAGGGCTGGACGTATAAGGTGCCTCTAAAGACTCAGATGAAGGAAGAGTTCATTGGAGTCTGGAGGAAGGACCCATATGGATAGGGGCATCCAGAAGTCTGACACTGTCTTGGGTCTTGAGCTTGGAGGCTTCTTCCTGCCCATAGCCAATGCCTCCTTTCTCCCCCCCCCCTCGCCCCCCCTGACCCCTTGCAGCATCTCGGGCAGAGCCAGTCCGTGACATCCGGTGTGAGTTCTGTGGTGAGTTCTTCGAGAACCGCAAGGGCCTCTCCAGCCACGCACGCTCCCACCTGCGCCAGATGGGTGTGACTGAGTGGTCTGTCAATGGCTCCCCCATTGACACACTTCGGGAGATACTGAAGAAGAAGTCCAAGCTGTGCCTCATCAAAAAAGAGCCTCCAGCTGGAGACCTGGCTCCTGCCCTCACTGAAGATGGCTCTCCCACAGCAGCTCCTGGGGCTATGCATTCCCCACTGCCTCTGTCACCCCTGGCTAGCCGGCCAGGAAAACCAGGAGCTGGGCCAACCCAGGTCCCCCGGGAGCTCAGCCTGTCACCCATCACAGGGTCCAAGCCCTCAGCTACCAGCTACCTGGGCCCAGTGGCAACTAAGCGGCCCCTCCAGGAGGACCGATTCCTCCCAGCAGAGGTCAAGGCCAAGACCTACATCCAGACTGAACTGCCCTTCAAGGCAAAGACTCTCCATGAGAAGACCTCCCACTCCTGTAAGCAGTGGGTGGTAGGGTCTTGGGATGGCATTTGTCAGGGCAAGCAGGGCCCCTGAGGCAAGGTCCCTGTGGGAGGTGGGATTAGCTCCTGACCTTGCTTAGACCACCTGGGTATTCCTGCACTCTTAGAATAGCAACCTCCTCTGTCTGTAGCCACCGAGGCCTGCTGTGAGCTCTGTGGCCTTTACTTTGAAAACCGCAAAGCCCTTGCCAGCCATGCGAGGGCACATCTGCGGCAGTTCGGTGTGACGGAGTGGTGTGTCAACGGCTCTCCCATCGAGACCCTGAGTGAGTGGATCAAGCACCGGCCTCAGAAAGTGGGTGCCTACCGAAGCTACATCCAGGGTGGCCGCCCCTTTACCAAGAAGTTCCGCAGCGCTGGCCATGGCCGTGACAGTGACAAGCGGCCACCCCTGGGGCTGGCACCTGGGGGCCTGACCCTGGTTGGCCGAAGTCCTGGGGGGGAACCAGGGCCTGAAGCTGGCAGGGCAGCTGACAGTGGTGAACGACCTCTAGCAACCAGCCCACCTGGGACTGTGAAGTCAGAAGAGCATCAACGGCAAAATATCAACAGTGAGTGCTGTTGGAGGAGGGTTGGGAGGGCAGTAGACACCTTCTAGAGCTTAGCCAACCACCACATCTCAGATGCTTAATCCCCTCCCTTTATCAGGGTATCATTCTATCAGTGCATGTGGTGCCCAGTCTTAAGTCCCAACAACCTCTGCCCCATTGTGCTCACTGAAAGCAGGGGTGTCTCCAGGGACCTAGCCCGCTTTTTACATCACCTATCACTGTGTCCATTAGAATTTGAACGCAGACAAGCCCGCCCCTCAGATGCCTCTGCAGCTCGGGGTGGTGAGGAAGCCAATGACCTGCAACAGAAGCTGGAAGAAGTGCGGCAACCCCCACCCCGGGTCCGGCCAGTCCCCTCCCTGGTGCCTCGGCCCCCCCAAACGTCACTGGTCAAGTTTGTGGGCAACATCTATACACTCAAGTGCAGGTATGCTAACACTTAGTAGGGCCTTGGCTGTTAGAAGCCTGAAAATGACTTAGTCTCTGTGCAGTTTGGGAGGTGGGGTCTCATAGGCTGTTTTACGGTATAGTAGTGCCCAGGTTAAGGGATCTGGAACTTGAGAGTATCAGGCTGATATCATGAGCTTTGTAGCCAGTTAGACCTAGGTTCAGTCCTAGCTATGACACTTGACAGCTTAGTAACATCAGACAAGAGCTTTCCTACTCTGCCACCTTTTTTTTTCTTTTATTTTTCTTTCTTTCTTTATTTCATGTATGTGAATACAATGTCACTGTCTTCAGACACACCAGAAGAGGGCATCGGATCTGATTACAGATGGTTGTGAGCCTCCATGTGGTTGCTGGGAATTGAACTCAGGACCTCTGGAAGAGCAGTCATTGCTCTTAACCACTGAGGCATCTCTCCAGTCCCCTGCCACCATTTTTGTGTCTTGAAAAAGAATCTAGCATGGTGGTGGTGCACACCTTTAATCCCAGCACTCAGTAAGCAGAGGCAGGTATAACTGTCTAAGTTCAAGGTCAGCCCAGGCCAGCTAAGGCTACAAGGTGAAGCTCTGTCTTTAAAAAAACATTTCATACAGACCTAATTGATAGAGTTGTGAGGACTGAATTTAATAGCAAAGCCCTGAAAACCTTGCTGACACTTAGTAAGGACTCAATCATATTTGCCTGCTAAGGAAAAAAAAAATCTCAGTTAATTCTTCTGAAAGTATCCATACACAGACATACACACATACATGTATACGTGTGCACACACTCAACATGTATCACATGCCAGGATATAGGGGCTTTAGAAACCTGAGGTAACTCAGCTCAAGCTATATATTACAGACCAAGTCAAAAATCGCATCCAGGTTGACTGATGGTTCCGGCCTGCTGTCCTACCTAGCATTGGGAGGCTGAGACAAGAAGATTACCACCAGTATAAGTCCAGCTGAATTACATAATTTTGAGGCCAGCTTAAACTACAGAATTAGAGATCATGTCTCCTAAAAACCCAAGGGGAAAAAAAGAAGTAGAATTTCACGTCATTGCTCTGGGGAGGTAGAGCTGACACTCTAGGCCTCCGTCCATTGGAGCCTAGCACAAGGCTGCCATAAGAGGGGAAGCATGCTTAGACAGGCTTTGCTGTATACCCACCACCATCTCAGAACTTACACATGAGATGGCAAAGGCACTTGGGGAATCCTCTGCTTATCTAGCACTGGAGATTTCATGCCCCGGAGACCCTACCGTGACTCCACAGTAGTAGAGATGGCTGTCCATTGGGAGACACTTTTTCCCTAGAGTCCTTGTCTTAAAATATCTACACTGAGTAGTGGTGGATATGCCTAAACACTTGGACTAGACTACTCTTCTGCCTTTCCTCAAAGTATTGGCCACCAAAGCTTCTTTCTCTGTTTTCCTATGCAGGTTCTGTGAAGTGGAATTTCAGGGCCCACTCTCTATCCAAGAAGAGTGGGTACGGCATTTACAGCGGCACATCCTGGAGATGAACTTCTCCAAAGCAGACCCTCCACCTGAGGAGCCCCAGGCCCCACAGGCACAGACAGCAGCTGTAGAGGCACCCTAACACACGAGCATTCCGGATCCCCTTTTGTGCCACCCATCCCCTCCCATTTCTCCCTTCCTCTCCCCCTTTTCCCTCCTTCTTTTCCGTTTCCAAAGGAGCAAGCCAAAACCTCAAACCGGCGCCTCTTGGGGGCCGGGCACACTACAACCTGGGCACTGGGAGCCAGCTAGTCACCCTTCCCCCAGCTTAAGGACTCTGGGGCCACAAGGGTATCCTCCTTAAGCCTACCTGTTTGGTCCAGCAGGGGCAGTAGCCAGGCCCTTGGTGGTGGCCAATCTGGTTGCAGGGGAGAACAGCACTTCCCTGTGTCTAGCAACCAGGCAGGGCTATGTCTGCCATCCGTGGCCATTTGCAAAGACCCCAAAGACCCCTGTTCCCTCTTTCCCCCATCAATATCTATTCTCATGCACAGGCAAACACACATGCACATGCACCTCGTGAGACCTGGGATCTGCCCTAGCCCCCTCAGTTCCCAAGTCAAACGACCACATCATGCCACGGTGCTTGCTCAGGGGAATCCATGCTCCCTCTGCTATCCCACTAGGGCTTGGGAGCTCCCACTGAGCCCATAATGCCACGGAAATTCTTGTTGGCTGCCCCCCCCCCCCCAAAAGGGGCCTTCCTAGCTTGGAAGAACTCAAAGCTGACAGCTGCCTCCTGCCATGTCAGAGCCTCAGGAGCTCCAGGGCTGGGAGGGTAGAGTGAGGGGTGGGACTCTCCTCCCCCACCCCTGCCACCCTCCCCCTTTTCACTGTTGCTTTCTATGTATAGCTCCCTAGATCTTTCACTTTTTTAAAAAATGCGTTTTGTGTAGAGAATAAGGAACCTGGATCTTTTTATTTTGCAATCCTGGGCCAGCTAGATACCGGGAGCTAATTGACCTTTTAACCTTTTCAGTGGCCACCTTTTGGTTATCAATGTACCTAGAAATATGTAAATTAGATTAAATTTCTCTTCTGGAAACACCCCAGGGCAAGCAGCCAATGTGTGTTTTTCTGTGGAGTGGACAGGCTGGCACTGGTTGACAGCTGGAGCTGGGGATCAGGGTTGTGCCTGGCAAAAGGCCCTGGGTTTCCTCTGTTAGCCACCGAAGAGACCAGACACAGCTGGGGATAAGTCCAAGTTCTCAGCTGTTGGCCCATGGCACTCTGGCTAGTGAGGGGCTCTGGTTGGCTGGCCTGGGAAGGGAGCCAAGACAGAAAGGCTGGTTGAGTTTAACCAGCCACAATAATGTGCCTACAGGAGTGGTTCTTGCCTTGGTGCTTTTACTCCTTGAAGGTATTGGGTAGAAACATACATCTGCTGGGAGCTTTGAGTATATGAATGAGGTTCAGAGTTGAGACCCAGCTATCTTGATAGGACTTTAAATGTGGTACTGGGGACCTTATCCCAGGCCTTGAACAGTGCTCTCCCACTGAGCTATACCTTGCTAGCTCCAAGATAAATGTCACGAAGAGCTATCTGAACACAAATAACAAGAGGGAAAGGGAATTACTCAACTTTATATTTTTTGATTTTTCAAGAAACATTTGGCCCTTGGTGGTGGCCAATCTGGTTGCAGAGAACAGCACTTACTGGCTTTCCTGGAACTAGGTGTTTAGACTAGGCTGGCCTTGAACTCACAGAAATCTGAGAGCTGGGATTAAAGACAAGGGACCACCACTACCCTGCCTGATTGATTGATTGATTGATTGATTGATTGATTGATTTTTTAAAGTTATGTGTTTTGACAGAGTTTTTTTCTGTAGCCCTGGCTGTCCTGGAACTCACGCTGTAGACCAGGCTGGCCTCGAACTCAGAAATCTGCCTGTCTCTGCCTCCCAAGTGCTGGGATTAAAGGCATGCGCCACCACTGCCCGGCAACAGTGCTATTTTCTTGCTCAGCTAATGTTTGTTTATTGAACATTTCTGAGGTGATAAGATTCTGTTGTCTCCTACTTTTTTATTCTATGTTGTCTTTTTAGTTCATCATTTTCACTAACCAGCCAAGTACTGGAAAGTGGGAATAATCTCACTGGGTGTGGATAGCAGCAGGTCCTTCCCCCCCAACCCTGTTTTTCTCTCCTCCCCTTCTGTGTCTTTATGCCTGGAGAGGAGGGTTGAACAGGCTGCTGTGACAAGCCTGCATGGGTGTTCTTAGCCCAGGAATGTGTTCTTTTATATGGTGGCTCTTCTCATCCTCCACTGTCATTGGTCATACCCAAGACAGGAAAAGAAGTGGAATTTCTTGTGATCTCTGTGAGTTCAAGGCCAGCCTAGTCTAAACACCTAGTTCCAGGAAAGCCAGTAAGTGCTGTTCTCTGCAACCAGATTGGCCACCACCAAGGGCCAAATGTTTCTTGAAAAACCAAAAAATATAAAGTTGAGTAATTCCCTTTCCAACTAAGAAGAAACTAATCCAAACATGTTTCTTCATAGCATTTTTAAATATAAAATCCATTTTTTTAAATATAAAAACAACAGTAGATTTTGAAAGTTCCAGTAACAGAAGTAGTAACATGGTCTTCCTACCTACTACATACACTGATGGCTGTGTCTTTGCACACAGTAATGTGTTACTCTACACTGATAGCTGCTGTGTATTTTTGCAAGGATCATGTACCATTCTTACAATAGGCCTTTTCCTAAAACTCCTGAGCATAGCTTAAGTCTTTGCTTAAACCACTCCATGGTCTCAAAAGAAACAGCTTGAACTTTTGGCCTAAGCTCAACCTTTGAAGACATCAGAAACAAGACCTTAGGTGAAATCACACCAAATGCTACAAAGTAAACTACAGGATCTAGAGATACCATGGGGCTGTATCTTATTTAGGATACCAGACAGATACCCAAGAGGTAGTACACATAAAACAGACCTCTGCTGCATGTTCCCTGTTTACATGCATGCAGTGCATTGGAACTGGTTTTCTTCCATGGGGCAACAAGGCCTGCAAAAGTGTTTGGGGAGGAATTGTTATCAGGACATTTTATCCTGGACAAATGGTAAAAACAAGCCCTCCTAATCACAGCAATAACCTAATCTATACTTCTCTACCTCCCCTGCCCCATCTAAATTATGGTTATCATATCAACTGTTTCATTAGGTTTCTTTGAAGGATCTAGACTTTTAAAGAATGCCATTATTATTACCCATAAAGAAACTGCTGACAAGAACTGCGAGATGGCTCAATGCCAAAGAACACATACTGCTCTTACAGAAGACTTGGATTTGGTTCCCAGCACCCACATGGCAGCTCACAATAACTCCAGTCCAGGGTTTCCAGCACCCTCTTCTGACCACCTCAGGCACTGGAGATACATGCAGTTATATAGATATACATTCAAGCAAAACATATACATAAACAAAACAAAACCTGATAAACATTTCTTAATACCAAAACAACACTTACTTGAAAACTTCCCCAAACCACAAGAAGGTGCATGAACCATAGAAGGTCAGCTTGATGCAGTTTCTCAATGTTTTATTTACAATGTCCCTCCAATGATATCTCCCATGGTGACTTTCCACACAGCCAGGAGCCAGGCATACTGCTTAGAACAAAGCTGGTATTGAGTTGCATTTTTCACTTTGTGGAGCTGAGCACTGAACAGAGGTTCTCATGTGCAAAGCATTTGCAGTAATACATGATACATTTAGATATATTGCTTATATAACAAATACCATACACATAAACATTTTTTTAAAAAGCGGTTTTTGAGAGACAGGAGAGATGCCTCAGCAGTTAGGAGCACTGGCTGCTTTTCCAGAGGACCCAAGTTCAATTCCCAGCACCTTCATGGCAGCTCACAACTATCTGAAACTCCAGTTAAAGTGATCTGACATCCTCACACAGACACATGTGCAAGCAAAACACTAATACACATAAAATAAAAATAAATCTTAAAAAAAAGTTTTTGAGACCAAAGTAACCCTGGCTATCTACAAATTTACCATGTAAACTCACAAATATCTGCTTTCCTGTTAGTGCTGGGATTAAAGGCACGTGCAACCAAGCCCAACTATTTATTTTGAGACAAGGTTTTATATACAGTGTTCTTCCAGACTGTCCTCTGAGTGCTGAGATTACAGGTGCAAGCCAACCATGGCCGGATTTTGTCTATTTAAAAATGCATCTTTATTTTGCAGTGTTGGAGAGTTCACACAAGGCCTTCTGTTCATACTGGGATAAAATGTTTTCCCACCAAGCTATATCCTCAACCCTTACAAATACTATTGTTATGTAATGATTAATAAGAAAATAATATTTACTATTTACTTTGTGAAACCGGCCCCAATTCTTTTCCCCCTCCTTGAGACAGGGACTCACTAGAGTGGCTTAGAATTCAAATAGCATAATCTGACCTCAAACTCGAGGCCATTCTACCTCAGGCTCCTGTATTATGGGGTTACTGAAGTCAGCTAACACATGGCCTGCCTTATTTGTTTTAACGTTATGTCACATAACGTTTGTCAGCAGATACTTTCTCCTTTCAACACGGGTTTACCATTCTCGTTTTGGAGCCGAAGCCCAAAGGAATACCTAAATGGATATGACTAGCATTTCAGTGGCGAGGCGCAAGACGGTCGCCTTTGCTCCTACTGGCAAATGTCTCGCACGGAGACAGCTGGCGACCGCCACGCGTCGGCTGGGACCTCGGGGTTGCTCGCAGCTCCACCGCTTCGAATTCCACCTTTCCATCTTCTCCCCTTGGCCTATCGGCGCAGGTTTTTGTTAACAGGAGGCGGAGAGTAAGGCGGGGTCATCGGGGGTTGGCAGTATCTCCAACCACTGTCGCGAAGAGATGTGGAAATAGACAGGTAGATAAACCAATAGACGTGAAGTCCGAGGTTTGCACAAGCCAATGAGATAAGGAGGAGGGGCTGAGGCGTGTGTAGAAGGACCCCTAGGGATTGTTGTGGCGTCAGACGCGCAGAGTAGCGGTCTGTGTCCACTGCTCGGGTGTTCTCTGCGGCCATGAGCTACACAGGTAGGCCCAAAAGGGTGAAGGGCGCGCTCCGGGCTGGGGCTATAGGACGGGCTGAGGCATGCCAGGATCGCCCATGCCTCCCGTGGTGTCCTGGTCATTGCCCTCTGTGGTCACAAAATGGCGTCTTAGGCTCTTCCCTTCGGGGTCGCATCCCTCAAGCTTCGACTCTCAGTGACCTCAGCCGGGCATCTTGGACTGTCCTGGCTGCTCGAGGCCTTGCTTGTGTCTTCTGTGACCGTAGGTCTCGGGCCTCAACGTTAGGTCCAGGCTTCCACCACCTCAGTCCGTCCCTGGCTAGTGCCCCACGGACATCCACGTCCAAGACCTCGTTTCTCAGGCCTGAGCATCCGAGATCAGTTCGTTGGGGCGGCTGCTGTCGCCATGCCTCCCCTGAGCAGTTTTGGTGCAAAACGTCGCAGATCCTTACTCATGGCACTCCCCCATCTTCATCTGGTCTAAAGCTGGGAAAAGCGCCAGCCTACCCTACCTCACTCCCCAGGGGGCGGTGGGAACCAGTAAGTATATATGAAGGCTCTGAACCGTTGCAGGGAGCTTTAGAGACCGAGCTAGAACCTTGGTGAAGAATGACTACTTTCCACTAATTCACTCAGCTTGCTGAATTCAATCAGGTGCTGAATAGGCACTATGAATGCTGACAAGAATTTCTTAAACAGCTTATAGGCGAGGACAGACCTTAGTAGTAAATGAATGTATATTGTATTTTGGGCCCTGGGTATCCTGAAGGGATTCAGCCATTACATGGAGAGCTTTGACATCTCTGGGAAGGGTGAGGTTTAAGAAGACATGTAAGCAAAATAGGAGAGAGTAAAGATAGCTGTTGCTGTAAAACCTCCCGGGCTGGAACCGCCCACCTACTTAGATCAGTGGTATTTGAGTAAAGACGAAGGTGGGTGAGGAGCGTGGTGAGGGGTGTGGAATATGCTTGAGTGACTGGAAAATCATTCCTGAGTGAGTTGCCAAGGCTGCCTGGGTTTGCCTTGG